AATCAAAGTCGGAGATTGCTCCTTCTGCCGCAAGGTTAGCTAGGTAATATTTGCAGCACCATCCTTAGAATAAATTAATTAAAAGAATATGCTAAATGTTTCCAAGTCTTGTTCTGAAACAATTCCTTCATTTAGAGGTTCTTTCTTTTGGCTTCTTTAAAGCCTTCTGGTCCTTTTATTTTTAACACTTAAATCTAGAAGTGTTTGCATTTTTCTAGAGCTTTAGGCTCTTCTGCTTCTGTTGCTGCCATTATGAAGGGCAGACGAGAGAGAGAGTTGAAGACTCTACTTCCTAATTTCTCTCTTTTTTTTTTTGGTTTGCAAATCCATGAGCTGTATACAATGAGGTGGGTGGCAAAGCAGGCACAGGTTAGTGTCTTCCTTCATCGTGCGGTGTCTCGTGCTTACCTGCGTCAGCTAGCAGGCTGGACCCTGCATCATTTTCCCTGAATGATCCAGTTTGGTCCATGGGAACTTTGCCTCCTGTCCGCACCCAGAGCCGCTTCTGCTTGGGAAGGCTGCACATTTTCTTCATGACTAGAGATCGCAGTGGGCACTATTACTGAAACATCTGTAGGAGAATGAAGTAATGGGCCTGCTAATATGCTTAATGGCCTTAATAGCATTGAAAACTAATGCGCTTAATGCTCCTTTCATTCATAGTTGCCCTTGGAATTATGGATGGCAAGACCATGCATTATGCTAAAACGAAGCTGGCCCAAATGTCACTGCGAGTGTGAAGGAGGAGAGTGAGAGAGAACGGCAGCATTATGCAACTTCTCCTCAAGTCCATCTTCATAGGAAAGAATTACATTATATGAGAACAGAGGCAGCCCACCCGGGGCCTATCACTCGCTTGAAGGAATTTAGCTCATGTTAGAAGAGGAGAAACCCTGGAAGGCTGTGCTGAGTGAATCATCCTGTGAGCAAAACCAATAATGTGGGAGGTAGAGAGGCTTCTGAGAAATAGGGAATTTCTAATTGGGGAGATCACTCTTTTCCCGGTTACAGGGTTTTCTCTGCACATGATGGGCTGTGATCCAGACCTTTCTAGACCTCCTCTTCTTTGTTCTATATTCCTTGGGCAATATTTATCATAAGTAATTGGATTAGTGAATTCAGGGCGCTCTCTCATGAATTAGCTCCAGAGGACGAGGTAGTTCAGATGAGGCTCCCTGGAGAAAAGCCTCAAAGATTCCGGACAGTTGGGACCCTTCGTGCCATTGCAGAGTCTTACAGGGCCCTCAGGTCGTCTAGGCGAGCTTTTGCCAGCTTCAGAAGGACACGGGGATGATGCTGGAGAATTAAAAATAACGTTCTAAATTTTGAAGATAAAATTTATAGCATTATGGGGGTTGCAGATTCTACTACTTTAGTTCTCAAAGAACTCTGGGGAAGAGAAGACCGTATCTCCATCTCCCTCAGGGATCCAAACACTGCCAGAGGGCTAAACAAGAGTAACAGGAAGTCCTCAAAAAATGAAATCATTGTGGTAGGGGCGCCTGGGTGTCTCAGTCAGTTAAACGTCCGACTTTGGCTCAGGTCATGATCTTACAGTATGTGAGCTCAAGCCCCATGCCAGGCTCTGTGCTGACAGCTTAGAGCCTGGAGCCTCTTCCAAATTCTGTGTGTCTCCCTCTCTGTCTCAGCCCCTGCCCCATTCGTGTTCTGTCTCTCTTGTGAAAATGAATAAACATTAAAAAAAAAAAAAAGAAAGAAAGTGAAATCATTATGGTAAAGAGATGTCTGCATCCCCATATTCATTGCAGCATTATTCACTATAGTTAAGACATAGAAGCAACCTAAGTGTCAGTTGATGGACGAATGAATAAAGATCACACACACACACACAAGAATATTATTCAGCCATTATAAAATAAAGAAGGAAAGCCGGCCATTTGCCACACATAGAGAGGTCTTGAGGACATTATGCTAAGTGAGATAAGTCACACAAGAAAGACAAGTACTATGTTCTCACTTATATGTAAAACCTAAAAAAGCCAAGTTCACAGAGACAGAGAATAGAATGGTGGTTTGAAGGTGGGGAAAATGGGGAGATGTTGGTCAAAGGGTACCAACTCCCAGCTGTAGGATAAATAAGTTTTGGAGACTTAATATACAGCATGGTCCCTGTAATTAACAATACTATGTTATATACATGAAAGTTGTTAAGAGAGCAGATCTTAAATGTTATTACCACACACACACACACACACACACACACATACACCCAAAGGCCATTACATGAGGTGAAGGAGGAGTTAACTAACCTTACTGAGGTAATCGTTTTGCAATATACACATATATTGAAGTATCACACTGTACACCAGATGCTCTATGTCAGGAATATCTCAATAAAGCTGAAAAAGTTTATTTGATATGTTATGGTAGAAAGAATTTTCTAATGGTGAATAATTTCCATATTGCATTGGAATGTTCTTTGTTACTCTGATAAAATTAAACTATAACTATCAATAAAAACATAGAAGTCCTCAGAATTAGAGAAGCAAACTGTGGACACCAAGAAACTTTTTACTTACTGGCAGCAGGCATCCAACATGGCTATTAGCCTGCTCCTGACTCAGCTTTACAGGGATCCTGCCTCCTTTGGTAAAACTGCTGAATGATCTTTCCCATCAACTCATGCAGGGGGTGATGGTGTTTCTTAGAAAGGAAGAACTTGGAAAATTTCTCTCTTTTGAATAAATACCAGCAGTGTGACCATTGGGATTTGTGAAATATTCAGGTTTGTGTATGGTATATGTAAGGCATGTATGTTACAGATCATGATGGTTTGCTTCTCTGAATTTTCATCATGATTTTACTTTGGCCATAGCATCTTTTACTGCTTTAGTCATTTGGTTCAATAACAGCTGCTCACCCTCAGATCTTCAGGAGAACATTCTGTACTGGTTAGGTTTTTTTTTTTTTTCTTTAAGTACTTAGGTTACACGCCCAATGTGGGGCTTGAACTCATGACCCTGAGATCAAGAGTCACATGCTTTACCAACGGAGCCAGCCAGACACCCCTGTCCTGGTTAGTTTTTGAGAATTGCTGGGACTTTACTTGGTCATAGGCAATTCAGAAATCAAAAACTTCAAGAATAGAGAAATTGATGAAAAATAATGAGGCTTCTTAACGGTTCTGGATAATCTGGACAAAATCCAGGTACCAAAGCTTCTTCAAGCTCAGATATTTCACTTATTGCCCCACCACACCTAAATAATTGATTTCACAACTGACATCTGATTTCTTCATATTTGAGCTTTTCCCTTGGAATGAGTTTATAAAGTGAACTCTCCAAGAAGAAAATAAAATTTCATTTAGTGACTTTATTTTCTAATGGTTTATTAATGCTCTTAATTCATCACTCAATGTTGAGAATATGTTTAAAAGGGAGAGAGAAACATAAATTAGAGCACAGGTAATTTTTTTTCTGTCTCCAACTAAAAGGCACTTTGGTGTTGTCACATCTAGGAAAAAAGTCATCCTCAAATTATTATTCAGTAATACTCTGTATCCTTTTCTTAAAATAAAGGAACAACTGACACTTGGCTTAACATTTCCTATTTTCTGACACCTACAATTACTAATTCAGATGTTTGGAGTTATATTCACATAGATAAAGATTTTGACAGGGGTTTTTCCATGACCAAATATGTATAATTCAGTGAAAGAGAAGCTAAATCATGTTACAAGCAGCAATTCTTTCTTTAGGTTTCACATACAGGGTATACTGATTTAAAATGCTGTGACTGGGGCACCTGGATGGCTCAGTCCATTAAGCATCTGACTCTGGCTCAGGTCATGATCTTGTGGTTTGTGGGTTCAAGACCCACGTCAGGTTCTGTGTTGACAGCTCAGAGCCTGGAGCCTGCTTCAGATTCTGTGTCTCCCTCTCTCCCTCTCTCTCTCTGCCCCTCCCCACATTGTGCTCTGTCTCTCAAAAATAAATAAACATTAAAAAATCTAAAATGAATAAAAGTTAAAAAACCAAAATGCTGTGATTAAGCATAAGAAGTTAGAGTGGGAAGATGAATGGGTAAAACTTTACCAGTGATACTCAATTTATTTTAGAATCTTGAAAAAAGTATGCAGAAGCATGGTAGCCTAGTATTTGGGTGTATTGTCATATTTAGTTCTCTCAGTTGCCATACGAAATGGGCATGTTAATCTCACAGAGAAGGAAACCAACATTCACAGTGGATAGGTAACCTTCTCAAGGTTACAGTCATAAATAGTAGGGCTGATAGAAAATGAACCAAAACAACTATCTCTTTGCCATGAATATTATATTTAGTCGAAGACAGAAAAACCATCCATAGCTTCTACATGCAAGGAAATCTGCTCTGCCTGGTCTGACCTTCATCTCTAAATTTCTGTACTTTCTTTTGTCACATAAGCCATGTGGCTGGCCATTATCACATAAGCCATGTAGCTGTGGCCTGGTGCTGATGCAGGAGGGCAATGCCCTTGACTGAAGAAATTGCCCTAAAATATTAACCATGGTTGTGTTTGTAGTAGGGCAAATTTACTCACTTTCTCTACATTTCTATATTTTATAATAAAATTACATCTGTAAAAAATAAGATCATAAACATATCTTCCTAGGTTTTAAAAGTAAACATGTCTTTAACAGGGAAAAATAAAGGATGAAACATGCAATGGAAATGTGGAAATGTTTTGGGAAAGTCCACTGGCTATAAAAGGCCAGCTTAGACGCATTCCAAAATGTCAACGATCAGAATTAATTTAGCTGTCATCACGGACTTGATTTTAATTTTCTTCACAGCCTTTATTTTTTTTTTTTAATGTTTTATTTATTTCTAGGAGAGAGACAGCGCGAGCAGGGGAGGGTGAGAGAGAGAGGGAGTCACAGACTGAAACAGGCTCCAGGCTCTGAGCTGGCAGTCAGCACAGAGCCCGACGCGGGGCTCGAACCCACGAACCGCGAGATCATGACCTAAGCGAAAGTCGGACGCTTTACCGACTAAGCCACCCAGGCGCCCCTCCTCACAGCCTTTAAATGTACTTCCATATCCCTGGGTGTCAAGGGTTCTTCTTGCTCAATCTTGTTGGCTTTTACCTTCCTGCTCCTCTAAGTCCTTCTTCTGCCTCCAGGGTTCTCCCAGGGCAGTGATGGGTTGACTTTGTCTTTTCCTGCTTTCAAGTATTAAATCAGATTATGCTCAGAAGCTCCAGAGTACACTCTTTTTTTTTTTTTTTTTTAACACATGTACTTTCTTTTTCTCTTATTTATTGCAAAAGTCATATTTCGGAAATCTTAGAAAAAAATAGGTAAACCAAAGGATGGGAAAAAAAAAATGCCATCTTAATTTAATCACCCAGAAATGCTTTTGTGTCTTTCTACCTCTTTGCCTATTCACGTGTGTGTGTGTGTGTGTGTGTGTGTGTGTGTGTCTGGCAGGGAGCATGTGTGAATGAATTGGACAGGCTTTAAGTTCCAATAGAAATCCCCAATTAAAATAACAGTTCATTCTAGATGAGAACTTAAAGTATTGTTTTATTGTACCGTGATTGCTTTAAAGACACCTCTACCATTTAGGCCAACTCTCCAGTAGCTCACATTAAGTATCAAAAACTAAATCTGCCGCTTAACCTCAAATGACTGTCCTGAAGGAAGGCACCTTTGTTCCCTCACCTCACTTCAATGCATAATATAAGAGCTTCCTCCCTCTCCACCAATATGTCCACCGTCTCTGGGACTTACCAAACCAGGAAGCTTCAGACTTTTTCCTACCTCTTCACCAGCTCTTCTCTGGAAGAAGGAGTGACTTGTTTCATAGAAGGGATAGGAGGGTCCCCCAGGCTGCGGAGTGAGCCAGTGCCGACATGGAGCCTGTCATCAGAAAGCGGGCCTGCGTCTCCGTCTCCTCCCCGTTCCCTGTCCCCTGCGGTAACGCAGCAGGAAGGGCACATCCTGTTTGAGGTTCTCCAGCTGCACTGTCCCCGGCTGCAGGCCTAGCCAGGTTCAGCTGGAGGGAAGAGAAGGAAGCCACAGTCCCCTCCTCCCCCACCTCTGCTGCAGCCTGAGTCCTCCCATCCGTCACCTGTGTATATAGCAAATTGGTTAGAACCCAGAGGAGGAGGAATATGACTAGCAGCATCTCAAATCCCAGTAATGGTGTCTAGAATGCACTCTATATGTTAGAAGGCCCACCTATGCATGTGTGTGTGTGTGTGTGTGTATGGTATAAGTATATATATACATAATATATATGCTCTTTCTCGAATTGAAATACAAGTAGATTTTTATAAGTTGCAGAGGGATGTTTCTATCTCTTTTAGGGCTCCATAATTAAGCTTCCTAGAATAATTCAGAAAACATATTTGCAGCCACGTCAAAGCAAACCTATAACGTCAGTATAAAATTTAGCAAAATCTAAGTTGACTACAGGGCTGTTCAGATGTACTCTGAAGTCACCAAGCTAAGCTCAGTTAGACAAGAGCAGCGGAGCAAATTTGATTTCCTGAGAGGTAGTCGAGTTGGTTTTTAGTTTAGGGCCTGGCTAAGGCTGCCCTCTTCCCTCCGCCTTCCTCAAACCTCAGTGCTTCTGAATCCACAAGGTTCTCCTTGTACAGAATTGTCCAGGAACAGGCCATCCTATTCTGTGATGGTGACTTTATGGGTCAGCCAGACGGATCATGGAGCGCCCATATATTTGGCTACCCGTTATTTCTGGGTGTGTCTACGAGGGTGTTCCCAAATGAAATTAGCACTGATATTGGTAGATTTAGTAAATCACCTTGCCCTCCCCAATGTGGGTGGGCATCACTCAATCCATGGAGGGTTTGAATGGAACAGGGAGGCAAAGGAAGGAAGAATTTGGATGCTCCTGCCCAATGGCTTGAGCCAGGACATTGATCTTCCTAGTTCTCTGGCCTACAGACCCAGGCTAGACCCTATGCCATCGGCTCCTCTGCTTCTCAGGCCTTTGGAGTTAGGCTGAATTATAGCACTGGTTTTCCTGGGTCTCTAGCTTAGGGACCACAGATCATGGGACTTCTCAGCCTCCATAATTCCATAAGCCAATTCCTTATAATAAGACTCTTTATATGTACGTGTTTGTATGCGTGTGTGTGTGTGTGTGTGTCCCACTAGCTCTGTTTCTCTGGAGGCCTCTGACTAATACATATTCTAAGTCCCAAATAGAATCTGTTCTATTCTTTCCTTTTTTGAAAAATTATTTTAATGCTTATTTATTTTTGAGAGAGAGAGAGCATGAGCAGGAGAAGGGCAGAGAGAGCGAGACACAGAACCGGAATCAGGCTCCAGGTCGTCAGCACAGAGCCCAATGTGGGGCTTGAACTCACAAACTGTGAAATCATGACCTGAGCCGGAGTCTGAGGCTTAACCAACTGAGCCACCCAGGCAGCCCATGTCTGTTCTTTTCAAAGAAAGAGGCATCTCACCTGAAATAGACCTGTAGCCAAACTGCCAGAGGCCCAGATAGGATAGAGAGATAAGAAGAGACAAAGGATATATTCAGAATTAAGGGAACAAAATAGGGGCGCCAGACCTTCTGCTCTGAAAGCTGACCAAACATGATGCTAAGGACATGTGGAAGTCATAGAATTTCCATGAGGCTTTTAGTAGCTGGTGACCCATAGTAACAGGCAGACACTTGTTTTGCTAAAACAGAAGTTGTACCAGAAGCTATACAGCTGGAAAACAGGAACATCTGTACTACTTATAAAAAGTGGAGATGAGACATAAGGAGAGAAAGAGAACATTTTTCGAGGATTAAGTAATGTTTATAACCTCAAACCACATTCTGTTGCAAAGCTTAACGGTAGATATTTGACCATTTATGTCAAATTTAGTGTTTTGTTCAACCATGATTTTGTAGGTGGGACAGAGGCAGGGTAAGGGATTGAAGGAGATTGATATTTGTTGTTGCAGAGGATCTTTTGAAATGGTGGAAATTCATTTCTGTTCATCCTCTCTGGGGCCATCTTGTTTTTCTAGAATACCCTGAATTCACCCCAGTGGTGCATCCTAGATAGCACTGAGGTATATGTGCTTGCAGTAGAGCTATAGAGTTAAAAGGATTTGTTGTTTGGTCTTATTCTCTTTTTCTTCCAGAAATAAAAATGATGTATTCAAATTCTAGATGCCCCTTAGCACTAATTGCATGGAGCTTAAGAATTACTCGGTGATGGATACATAAGTCCCATTATTTTTACAGAACGAGATTTAAGTCCCTGTACATTTAATCATATTTCTCTATAATTCTCATGACAGTGAAGACCCCTCCAGTAGCTCTTGCAGTACATGGAAACTTGGAGAGTTTTTGTGAATAAAAAGTAAATTCGTAAATTTGCAAATTCATTGCCTTAAAAATTCTCTAACTAGCATATGTTATGAAAAATAGATCTTCTTAATAAATATTTTCCTTGAAATTTTATTTAGAGCTTGAGGTTAAAGAATTTAATGTACTGTTATCAGGCTGATGTTTTTATCTTGGGGTTACATAGAGTAAATATTTTTCCTTCTTAGTTATTAGAGAGTGGGAGATCCCACACAGAGATTGCGGCGTCTGGTTGAGAAGTCCCTGGCCCTCAAGGGGTCATTCCTGGGGGTTGAGGGAGATGGAGGGGCAACATAGTCCACCCTCTTATTAAGTATCAGACTCTTAATCAAGAAGGACCGGTCCACAGAAACTTGTCACAGCTATTTAAAATGCTAAGGATGATTTCGCATTTTCGATTCATATTTTCTTTTCAAAAAATCTCCCTCTTCTTCCTATATTCTCTCTTTTCCTTTTTAATTTTGGATCCTACTTTTCTCTACTTTGTTTCCCCCCCTTTTTTCTTCCTTTCCCTTCTTCCATCGTGTTTGGCTGATCTAAATTGGCCACTTTAAGATGTGATAAAATCACAGGCTTTGAAATGTTGTGATCAGACTTTTGGGAAAGTTGTTTCACAATCTCATCAAAAGACATGAATACTCAGTCTTTGAGCTAGCAATTCTGCCTTTAGAAATTTATCTTCAGGAAATAATCAGAAATGATAAAAATAATAGTATTTGTTGAGTTCATATCATGGGCCAAATTAGATTTACCTAAATTAATTTATTTAATCTTTACAACAACCTATGATGTATCATCCCCATTTTACATGTAAAGAAACTGAAGAGCAGAGAGATTCAGTAACTTGCTCATGAACACACAGCTAGTGAGTAGGGGAGCTGGGATCTGAACAATGGAAGTCTAGCTCCAGAGCCAACACTCAACCAAGACAGTCCCTAAGATGTGAGTCTTGGGGAAGTACTTTTGATGGGACCTCTGTCTATATAAACAATTTTATTAAAAATGTGTTTCACATTGTTTTCAAATTCATCAGTCTCTGTAAGGTATAGAGAATGAAGATTGTCAGTGAAGATTTGAGATAATGGGTAAGAAGAGGTACTTACCTATGTGCTTATTGTCCAGTCAGAAGATTCTTTGTGGTATCCAGGCACCATCTCTTCTTATGTGGATCCAGGAACCATCTTTTCATACTTTATTGTCAAGTCTTCCATTCCAGCCTTGTTTCCTATTTTTCACCATGAAAGGAAAGGCACAAAACTGTTATTCTGAAATGCATTGACTCTTCTGAATGAAACAACATGGATCTAGTGTCCTCCACAGGTCCCTAATAGTATTTATTTAATGCTTCTTACATCATTACTCATGATCTCACCTCATTATCCATCCATCACCTGTGAAACTGGCTTCTAGTGGCTCTCAACAGTGGTTAATGGGCTTTGTGGGATGACCGAGTTGGGTGCCAGCATCAAGGGATGCATGGTCCTGCCACCCCACCCTGATGCTTGTGGGTGCTGTAGACCAGAGGCAGCTCAGTGGTCAGAACACACATGGGGTGATTGATAAAGTACCTCTCATGCATGCATGGGCACACGTGTGCACACATATATGCACGAAATTCCAAGGGCAAGCAGCAAACCTGTGGTGACCATCACAGGCCAGGAGCTCCAAATTTGTCAGGTGTCCTTGGTGAGTAAGACATCCCACTCTCAAAATAGATTAGAAAGCTGCATATTTGTTCTGCTAGAAAAATATACAATGTTCCGTGAGTTCTCAAATTGAAGTCTGAATATGTCTTGTGTAATTTATTTTATTTGGCAAAATTGCCAGGGATGTCATATTGGTTAGCATGAAGCTGCCCGGAGCCCTTCTGAGAAATCTCTTCCATTGTCCTTGACACTACAGTTTCTTAAGCAGGTAATAGATTGTGCCAGTTGTATATTTGTGTACATATTTGTAATAATAATTATTTGCACACTTGCTGTGTGTCATCACTATTTCAGTTGTATTCCAACTATTATTCATGGAACCTTCATCACAGCCTTCATTCATAAGCATAATTCTATTCTTGTTTGTTGAGTAAAGAGTGAGGTGCAATCTGCAACAACACAGATAGACCTTGAGGGCATCGCACTCAGGAAAAGAAGTCAAGAGAGAGAGACAGAAAGATATGTAGACAGACAAATATAGTGTATGTTTCCACCCTTGTGAAGCCTAAACAAAGCAAACTCCTAGAAACAGAATGGAGTGGTGGTTGCTAGGGGCTGAGGGTTGAGAGAAATGGGGAGATGTTGCTCCGAGTATAAACTTTTAATGAATGAGTTCTCTGGATCTAATGAACAGCATGGTGACTGTAGTTAACAGGTCTGTATTATATACTTGAAAGTTGCTTAGAGACTAGATCTCAAATGTTTTCACACACACACACACACACACACACACACACACACACACACACAATGTCATGATGTGAGGTATGAATGTATTCAGTTATTGCCTTATTGTGGCAATCATTTTGCCACATATTATATTGAGGCATCACATTGCACATCTTAAACTTAAACAACGTTTTATGTTTAATGTTTTATGTTTATCTCAGTAAAGCTGAGAAAAAAATGTGTAGGTTGAAGTGGCCTATCTTTGGAAAAGTACCTATTCATGTTTTTTTCCCATTTCTTCACTGGATTATTTGGTTTTTGGATGTTGAGTTTGATAAGTTTTTTTTTTTAAATAGATTTTGGATACTAACCCTTTATCCTATATGTCATTTGCAAATATCTTCTCCCATTCTGTCAGTTGCTCTTTAGTTTTGCTGGTTGTTTTCTTCACTGTGCAGAAGTTTTTTTTATCTTGATGAAGTTCCAACAGTTCATTTTTGTTTCCCTTGCCTCTGGAGACATGTCAAGTAAGAAGTTGCTGTGGCTGAGGTCAAAGAGGTTGGTGCCTGTTTTCTCCTCGAGGATTTTGATGGCTTCCTGTCTTACATTTAGGTCTTTCATCCATTTTGAGTTTATTTTTGTGTATGGTATAAGAAAGTAACCCAGGTTCATTCTTCTGCATGTCTCCATCCAGTTTTCCCAATACTGTTTGCTGAAGACTGTCTTTTTTCCATTGACTATTCTATTCTGCTTTGTCAAAGGTTAGTTGGCCATACATTTGTGGGTCTACTTCTGGGTTCTCTATTGTGTTCCATTGATCTATGTGTCTGTTTTCATGTGCCAGTACCATACTGTCTTGATGATTACAGCTTTGTAATACAGCTTGAAGTCAAGAATTGTGATGCCTCCAGCTTTGATTTTCTTTTTCAGGATTGTTTTGGCTAATAAAGGTCTTTTATGGTACCATAAAAATTATAGGATTGTTTGTTCTAGCTCTGTGAAGAATGCTGGTGTTATTTTGATAGGGATTGCATTGAATATGTAGATTGCTTTGGGTAGTATCGACATTTTAACAATATTTTTCCACTCCATGAGCATGGAAAGTTTTTCCATTTTTCTGTGTGTCTTCTTCAACTTCTTTCACAAGCTTTCTAAGTTTTCAGTGAATGGATCTTTTACCTCTTTGGTTAGGTTTATTTCTAGGTATTTTATGTTTTTTGTGCAGTCACAAATGGGATCGATTCCTTGATTTCTTTTTCTGCTGCTTCAGTATTTGTGTATAGAAATGCAACCAATTTCTACACATTGATTTTATATCCTGTGTCTTTGCTGAATTCATGTATCAGTTCTAGCAGCTTTTTGGTGGAGTCTTTGGGTTTTCCACATACAGTATCATGTCGTTTGCTGAGAGTGAAAGTTTGATTTCCTCCTTGCTGATTCGGGTGCCTTTTATTTCTGTGTTGTCTGATTGCTGAGGCTAGGACTTCCAACACTATGTTGTACAGCAGTGGTAAGAGTGTGAATCCCTGTCATGTTCCTGACCTTAGCAGAAAGCTCTCAGGTTTTCCCCACTGAGGATGAACTATTGGTGGGTCTTTTATACATGGCCTTTATGATCTTGAGGTATGTTCCTTCTCTTCCTACCTTCTTGAGGATTTTCTTTTTATCAAGAAAAGATGTTGTATTTTGTCAAAGGTTTTCTCTGCATCTGTTGAGAATAGCATCTGTTCTTATCCTTTCTTTTATTAATGTGATGTATCACATTGATTGATTTGATTTGTAGGTATTGAACCAGCCCTGCAGCCCAGGAATGAATTCCACTTGATCATGGTAAATAATTCTTTTCATATACTGTTGAATTCAATTTGCTAGTATCTTGTTGAGAATTTTTGCATTCATGTACATCAGGGAAATTGGTCTATAGTTCTCCTTTTTAGTGCAGTCTTTGTCTGGTTTGGAATCAAAGGAAGACATGGGCAAAACATATAAATAAACACTTTTCCAAAGAAGACATCCAGATGGCTAACAGACACACGAAAATATGCTCAACATCTCTCATCATCAGGGAAATACAGATCGAAACCACAATGAGATATCACTTCACACCTGTCAGAATGACTAAAAGTAACAACTCACACAACAACAGATGTTCATAGGGGTATGAGGAAAGGGGAACCCGTTTGCATTGGTGGTGGAAATGCAAATGGTTGTAACCACTCTGGAAGACAGTATGGAGGTTCCTCAAAAAATTAAAAATGGATCCTATGACCCAGCAATTGCACTACTAGGTATTTTTCCAAAGGATACAGGAGTGCTGTTTCAAAGGGACACACGTGCCCCAAAGTTTATAGCAGCATTACTGACAATAGCCAAAGTACAGAAAGAGCTCAAATGTCCATCAACTGATGAATGGATAAAGAAGATGTAGTATATGTATGGAATATTACTTGGCAATGAAAAAGAATAAAATTTTTGCCATTTGCAACAATATGGATGGAACTAGAATGTATATGGTAAGTGAAGTAAGTCAGTCAGAGAGAGACAAATATCATATGACTTCACTCATATGTGGAATTTAATATACAAAACAGATGAACATAAGGGAAGGGAAGCAAAAATAACACAAAACAGAGAGAGGGATAAACCATAAGAGACTCTTAAATACAGAGAACAAACTGACAGTTACTGGAAGGGTGTTGGGTGGGGGGATGGGTTAAATAGGCAAGGACCATTAAGGAGGGTACTTGTTGGGATGTAAATGATAAATCCCTGAATTCTATTCCTGAAATCATTATTACACTATATATTAACTAACTTGGATATAAATTAAAATTAAATAAATAGTAGATAAATAATAAATAAATAAAGTAAAAGGTCCATCAAGAATTTTGACAAGTAATAGAGAATGGATTTACATTATTGTGAAGTTTCAAAATACTGGAGACAAAGAAAAGATCCTAAAGCATCCAGGTAGATCATGTCACACACAAATGGTCTGAAATCAGAGTGGCTTTGTTACCTTTAAATAGCAAAACTGAAAACTGGAAGATAGTGGATCAATGCCTTCAAAATTCTGAAGAAGAATAATTTCAAAACTAGACTTCCGTACCCAGTTATTATGGGTTGAATTGTGTTTTGCCCAAAATTCATATGCTAAAGTGTTAAGTCTCCAGTATCTCCGAAAGTGACTGGTTTTGGAGACGAGGCCTTTCCAGAAATAATTCAGTTGCAATTGGACTCTAATCCAGTAAGATCTGTGTGCATATAAGAACAAGAGATTAGGATGCAGACACTGGAAAGAAGACCATATGAAAATGGAGAAAGAAGATGGCAGCCATCTACAAGCCAAAGAGAGAAGCCTTAGAAGAAACCAACCCTGCTGACTTGATCTTGGACTCACAGCCCCAGAACTGTGAGAAAATAAAGCATTTGTTATTTAAGCTAAAAAAAAAAAAAAAAAAAAAAAGGAGGTACACTGAAGTTAAGTAACTTGCTCAAGATCACACAGAGAATAAAAGACAGATCTGGGACCCAGCCCCAGAAGCTGGCTCTTGAATCCCTCTACTTAACCACTGTACTCCGCATTGTCTGTAGGATATAAACAATGTGTCCTCCCAAAAGATACAATCCTAAAGTGGTGCCAAACCAGAAGCTGCCTCTTCTCTCCCTTGATACATGTCTAAGAGAAACGTTGACATCCAGCAATCCTTAACCAATTTTACATTATACGTTTTCAATTAAGGGCTGTATCTTTTGATGCTCTTAAAATGTAGGGGGTAATGCTACTTCTACTAAAGTAGCCACAACTGGGAATATCAGAAGAGTATGCGAAACCAAAATAAAA